CTGCAGAAGCTCCTCGCTGCAGGTGTCTGTCACCTGGAAAAGTCACGGCTCATCCACGTGACGACAAATCCCACCCGGCCACGGAAACGCAGCAGCATTGACCCTGCCCTGCCCATTACCCGTGCTCTCGGGGTAGGAGAGGGTGAAGAGCAGCGTGGAGGACACCCGGACGGTCTCCTTGCCACAGCGACACATGCTGCAGTTCTCCATCTCGCAGCTGAACAGCTGCCCAATAACCGAGTCCCCCGCCGACCCAAAACTGCTGGAGAAGAAGAGCACCGGGGTTAGCAGGATCCCGGCAAACCCCACAGAGCTGCTACGGTGGGCTGAGCGCCGGGGACCCACACATCTTGGGCTGCGCAAGGGCAGGTTAGGGTCAGCACCCAAATTCCAGCTGTTCTTAGGGAATCAGCCATCCGGCTTCCAGAGCCGGTGTGCGCAGCCCCAACACGCCAAGCAGTGGGGTGAGGCTTAGGAGGGTTCAAACCCTGCTGGGGGTGGGGGGAGCCTGCAGCTCTGCGTGCTTCCCTGCCTCGGGGCAGACGTGGGTGGCAAGAGATGGGTCTCTGGGAGCCAGCTCCCTTCCCTGGTTCACTTCTCCTGTCCCCAAGGCCAGGGACTTACCTGCTGCCAGCCCCCCGATACGCCTGCGGTCCCTCCTGCTCCTGGGTTTCCTGGTGCAGCTGAGTAAGGATGAAACGGTTCCAGCTCTGAATCAGCCGCCCCAGGTTCACCTTCCCTGTGGCTTCGTCCGAGTCAGCCAGGATCAGCCCCAGCGCCGAAGCCTCTGGGATTGTGCGGAAAGCCCGCAAAAAGTTGCTTCCCTGAGCATGGGGCAAGAGTGGCATGTCACCGAGGTCAAGTGACAGGAGTTTCCACGCTAGCTGATGCCATCACCCCAGGACCTGGCACCACCCGGCTCCTGCTCCACTGCGCTCTCACCCTCCCAGGCAGCCCGGGCTCACATCACGCCTGGGCTCACCACGGACCTGGCAGGGGTCTCCTCGGGACAGGTCCAGCATGTGGAAAAGCAAGCCCAGCTCACAGCCCAGACAGAATTCCTTCTGGCACAGGTGGTTCTGGACCAGGCAGCGGACCGGCTCCAAGAAATACAGCACCTGGCAGAGACGGAGCGGTCAAGGGATCAAGGGAGGGGGGTCCCGGAGGTCGCGGTGGGCTGGGGAGCGCCGTCTCCCACCTGGATCATGCAGTTGCAGTAGGCATTGGGGATATGGGGCTCCAGGCCGGCAAAGAGCGTCTTGTTGTAATGCTTGAAGTCAAAGTCCTCCAGCCCCAGCTTGGAGTACTTGATCGTGACCTGAGCAGAGACGCAGCGTGTCAAACAGACCCTATCCCACCCCACGGGATGCTGGCACAATGCCCAGGGACTCGGAGCCCAGGAGGGTCCTTCGCCCCAGACAAGCCCGGCGTGGGGAGCCCCAGCCAGCCCCGGAAGGCCACTACCTTCCTGTACTTCTTGGCCACCATGTAGAGGTGTGGCTCCTCTTCCCTCCCGATCGGGGACTCGGGGACTTGGCTGAAGCTGTCAAACTCATTATCCGTCTCTTTTAAGCGATAGGGAATCTGTGAGGGGGAAGAGAAGGGAAGAGCAGCTGAACCCTGAGGCAGGGAGAAGCACCACGTACCCAAACAAGCAACTCCTGGGCTTTCCTGCCTCCCCGAATGAGCAAAGGAATAAACCAGAAGGGAGCGGGGGCCCTCCCTCAACCTGCACGAGGCCTCCACACCTTCCTTCTTACAGGGGACTTATCACTGTGGGAAACTACAGCGGCGCTGCGGGCAAGGGCGAGACACAGCAGTGTTTTCCCAAGGGCGAGGGACGTGCCATAAACCTCC